GATCTTCCGTCTCTGCAGGTCAAGGGGTAGGACACCACAGTCCACTTCCATAGCCAATATATGGGTATGTTTCAATGCTCCACAACATAATCGCAGACAACGATTCTGAATAACGTCCAGTTGTTTAAGGACTGAGCAACTCGCAGAGTCATAAATGATACTGCCATAATCAATGATGGATCTTATTAAGGTTTAGTACATAAGTAATAAAGTCTTTTTGGACGCTCCCCAACGTGTGCCAGACACACATTTAAGCAAATTGAGTTGCTTAGCACATTTGTGCGAGACATAGGTGATATGACGCGTCCAATTTAACCTGGAATCAAAGATAACTCCAAGAAACTTGTGGTGAGTGACGGAGACTAGTTGAGGTTATTAAGATTTAATTTCACAGTGCTTGAAGTACGAGTAAAAGGTAGAACTGCAGACTTTAGGGCTGAAACCGTAAAGCCCCATTTAAAAAACCAATCGGCTAAATTATCCAGACTTGTTTGAAGACAGGTTTGAATGTGATTAATATTATGACCAGTTTTCCAGAGGGCTAGATCATCAGCAAAAATACTATAATTCGTACCATTATTAATGAAAGAAGAACTAAGATCATTAATCATTAGAAGGAATAAAATAGGGCTAATAACACTACCCTGGGAGTGCCATTTTCCGAGACTCTTTCCCCAGAGACGACTCCATTGACTCTGACCTTAAAGGATCGGTTTGAAAGAAAGTATTTAATCCAGTTAAAGAGTTCGCCATCAAAACCATAACTATTGAGTTTATATAACAAACCTTCTTTCCAGACCATATTGTATGCTCGTTCAATATCCAAGAATACAGACACTGCCTTGCCTCTGTTACATCATGATTTATTGACATCTTCATATAGCTGTACCAAATGATCAAGCGGTGACTTCTTCCAATGGAAACCAGACTGAAACTGGTCGAAAAGTTTATGTTTTTCACAATACCAATTCAAACGGTATGCAATCATTCGTTCCATAATTTTACACATAGTAGAAGTAAGAGCAATTGGTCAATACGGTGTAACAGAACTTGGATCCTTGTCTGGCTTAGGGATTGGACAAACTATGGCATGTTTCCAGGCTGAAGGGAGGGTACCTTCATTCCATACCTTATTGAAATATTCCAGCAGCTTTACCAAAAAATTGGGCGAAAGATTTTTATAGATTTTATAAGGAATTCGATCGTCACCAGGGGCCGAGTTTTTAGATGTCTTTATTGCTCGGTTAATTTCACCGATCGTGAATTGAGAGTTCAACCCTTTGCTATTGTTTGGCTTCTTTGTAAAGGTGGCATAGTGGTCATGTTCAAATAATTTTCTATGAGTTAAAAAATTCGGGTGAATAATTGTCGGAACTGCTGATGTGGGCAAATTGATCAGATAGCGCATTTGCCTTTTCAGCATCCGTCAGATATGTTGATCCAAGAGTTTTAAGGCTAGGAATACAGATAGAACCCCCACCATTCATACGCTTTACGGATTTCCATATTTTTACTTAAATTTGATGAATGGTTGAAACTAGAGTAGTAATTATTGTTGGAGTTCTCGAACCGTACCTTGACAAATGGCCTTCTGCTTTTTATACTCAATGTAATCGTCTAACAGACGGGTTTTAAGAGCTTTCTTCCTACTCTTGTGTTTTTGTTTAACTGCTTTCTCACATTCCATATTCCAATAATGGGTTTGACGTTTTCCACAACCTGTGGTTGATAGTGGGATAAATTTCTCTGCTCCAGGCTGTTGGGATTCAGTGTCAGACTTCTATGGGAAGTGTCACGATATTTAATATTTATAACCCTGGTGTCGCCATTGATCCTGTTGAGTATCGAGAGTTTTTTCTTCTTAATAGTATACTTTGTGGAGATTTTAATGCTCACAACCTTTTATGGGGTGGAACAAAAACTGACTGTCGAGGTCAGATTCTCGGGGATCTAGTTATGGAATCTGACAAAGTGGTATTAAATGACGATCATGGGACATGTCTTGTTCGGGATAATCTCTCTCCTCTACATCTCGCTATTGTAGACAGTAAACTTGCTAGTCTTGCTACCTGGGATGTTCTAGATGATGACCTGGGAAGTGACCATCTCCTGGTCATTACATCTGTTAAGATCCGTCTTGAAGTTAGGAGTACAACGGCCTTCTGGAACTTTAACAAAGCAAACTGGCTCAACTTCCGTACGTTCCTTGATTCTTCCATTCAAAACATAGATATGTCTTCTTCTGTCGAATCTATACAATCTCGTCTAATAACTATTATTTTGGAACCTATATTTTCTGGGCAAGTAACGACAGTAAAGAGCAAGCGATTCTTGACAAGAGTTAGTACACCTCCCTTTGCTGAGTGTTCTCGATCTTTTCGAAGTGGTTTATAACCGTGTATGCAGAATTTTATATGGGGTTTGAGAAACGATTCCTGAATACAGATAATACATAATTTATGCAGTGAGTTTCAATGTAACAAATAAGGAATGGAGCATGGGCCTTAATGCCCCTGGCATTCCACTGTAATATTTGTAAAGGGCCTATTGTTTATTTGTAGGAGCACTTACTTGGTAAAGTTCATAAATTGAGTCTGGATTAATATCATAACCAAATATGGCACTTGCCAATTCGGTTATGAAAGATATCCTCGTTTTCTGCAATTTTTTTTTTT